TGGGAGAAAAAAATGGTAAACTTATGGTTCAACGACTTAAGGACGAAGTCAACTCTTATAATAATTCTGGCAAAGGTCGTGCTATTCTTCAAGAGTATGACTCTCAGTCAAATAAAGCCTTTATTTTATGTATTGTCACAAACTTAATAGTTCGTGTCCATGAAAAAATCAAACAATCAGAGGAAATTTGTTATGTGGATGCTTTGGCGTTCTTTGAACCATTAAACACATCAATTACTTTGTTCTACACAAGCTGTATCGCAGGGGCTTTGCCCCTTGGCCTTCTTATAACATCAGATGAACTGGAAATAACCCTTAAAAAGGGAATGATGATGCTAAAATCACTTCTTCCACAACGTGCATTTTTTGGCCGGGGGCCTGACATTGGTCCAATAACTTTTCTTACGGATGATTCAAATTCTGAACGTAATGCGTTAGAGCATTGCTGGCCTAATTCAAACCGACTATTATGCGTATTTCATGTTCTTCAAGCCTTTTGGCGTTGGTTACATAACTCAAAACATAATATAAATAAAGATCATAAAATGCCTATAATGAATATTATGAAAAAGATATTATATTCGCACACTGAAGTCGAAATGGTGAAATATTATAATGAACTAAAAATTAATTATTATAATATCTATCCACAATTGCAAAGGCATTTTGAATGACTTTGGAACCGACGACAATTCTGGGCAGTATTGTTTCACTCTGAACTTCTCTTGCGGGGTAATAATACCAATAATTATATAGAGTGTAGTTTCGGATTGTTAAAAGATATTATCTTCTCACGTACTCAGGCATATAATAGCATTCAAGTGTTTAAATTTATTGTTACAAGTATGGAGCACTATTATGAACATCGACTACTTGGAATAGCCCACTCACATCTTGGCCATATTGGAATCGCTAAAAGATTTTTATGTCCTGGTTGGGATGCAATCGATGTAGTGGAAATTCGACCAACTGAAATAAGTACGGAGTACTTAGTTCCAAGTCAAAAAAAAGGAACTGAATTATTTTATATTGTTAACACAGAATTCTGTATATGTATATGCTTCATCGGGCTTTCTGGAGCACCATGTAAATATCAAGGTGCAGTGGCTGCAAAATATAATATAGGGTCTCTAAATTTTTTTCCATCTCTATCACCTAATGATCGTGCTTGTTTTGTATATATTGCGTGTGGTAAGTGGCAATAATTTAAATTTTAATTTAAAAAATATTTTTAAATTAATATTTATTGCAAATATTATAATTAAGGAATCATGGCAGATAGTTCTTTCTATGCATCGTTACATGCTCACAAGAATAATAACCATGAAGAATCGAATACAAATAGAATATTAGTAACCAATATTAATACAAATCAGATTGTAACTGATGCAGATGCGAATATGGATGCGAATGTGGATACGAATGTGAACGTGAATACGAATGTGAATGCAAGTTTAAATATAGATCTGAATGCGAATGCAGATGTGAATGCGGATGTGAATGTGGATGTAAATGCAAGTGTGAATATAAATCCAAATGCGAATGCAAATGTAAATGCAAATGAGTAGGTTTTTTTAAGTTTTATACAATTATTATAGATTTGTAATTATAGAATTGTTTATATAAATTTTTTTTATTTAATAAAAGGTATAATCATGTGAATGTGGATGCAGATGTGAATATAGCAACTGATGTGTAAGTTTTTTTTTTTTTTTTTTTTGAGTTTTATACAAGTATTTTTAGATTTGTAATTAGAAAATTATCTATATAACCCTTTTATTTAATAAAGGTATAATCATGCGAATGTGGATGTGAATGCAGGTGTGAATATAGATACAAATGTGGATGTAAATATGAAAGTGAATACGAATGTGAATGCAGCAACTGATGTGTAGGTTTTCTTTTTGGGTTTATACAAGTACTTTTGGATTTGTGATTAAAGAATTGTCTATATAACCCTTTTTTTTATTAAATAATGATATAATCAAGTGTTCTTCGATACATTTCTTAAAACAATGAAGGATGATTACGAACATTGTGGACCACAATTTTGAGCAGGCCTTGAGAAATTGGCTGAGAGATACAATGCAGCAAAAGCTAAGTCTATCCCGGTGTTAACATCCTTTCTCTATAACATGAATCATAATTCGGACCTACTTGGGCGCATAAAGAGTGGTGCTAAAATTTGTATACAAGTTGAATCAGTCAAGCGTAGAAAAACTGAATCAAGTGTAAAGAAATCTGGTGATAAAGAAAACCGTGATAATGATTCTCATATTATTCCAGCACGCAAAGTTAGAGCAATTGGTAAAAAGAGGCACAATCTTAGTCAAAACATGAACAAAAATAAATTGAATTGAAAACATGTTTATAAATACTGTTTTTACAAAGTCATTCTATGTAGTTAATAGTAAACACAAGGTAGATGCAATTTACTGAATAATTTTAGATCAAA